GCCAGCAATCTGCAATGCTACCCAATCAGCCTCTTTGTTTGGGTGCCCCCCGAAAACGCTGCGGCCTGGCACTGCTAGGGCGTAGAGAGGAGCCTGGCGCCGCTGCCCGAGGGGTCCCGGCCGGGTGCGGGTTGGCCAGCATGAGCCGGCTGGGCCCTTTTCTGGTTGCGCCGCGCCTGCTCCGTCGGTCCTGGGTCCTGCCGAGGGGGCCTAGCCGCGTCTCCATAGTGACGGGACCCTGCGCGGGCCTAGGCGCCGCCGCCTCCCTGTGCTCGGGCCCAGCGGCTCCGAGCCTGGCCATGGAGGAGTTGCTGAGCCGCTCCGTGCCCCCGCTGCCCCCCTACGAGACGAGGGAGAAGGCGCCGCCGCCGGCCGAGCTCCGCAGCGCGGAGTTCGTGCGCTCCTACAGGGCCCTGGAGGCCGGGCCCCGGCGGGCGGAGCTGCTGGCCCGCCTGGCCCGGGACTTCGGCGTGGACCACGGACGGGTGGCCGAGTTCAGCGCCAAGGTGCTGCAGGCTCGGGAGCAGCAGAGGGAGCCGGGCGCCTTGCTCCAGGCCGAGGACCGGCTCCGTTACTACCTCACCCCCCGCTACCGGGGCCTCTTCCAGCACTTGGGCCGGCTGGAGGGCGGGCTCCGCTTCCTGATGGAGCTCAGGGGCGACCTGGTGGAGGCGCTGGCGGCGCGGCATGCGGAGGGGCCGCACGTCAGGGTGAGAGGAGGGGGGCCCACGGGTGGGGTGGCAATGGGTCGCGGGGAGGGGGAAGCTCCCAGGTGCAGGGCTGATGAGAGGGGGGGCCCAGCGTTCCTCAACCCCTCCGCCAATGTCTGTGTGAATGCAGTGAAATGGGAGGAGTTGGGCCCCAGCGAACAGGATGTACCTTGGGCCCCCAATTTCTGTCGAAGGGCCTGTCACTGCAATACAAGTAATGATGGGGAGGGTGTGAGGGGTGGGGAACCCAGCACACTGTGGAGGAAATGATGCACTGCTGAGGCCGCATGGGCATGGGCATGGCACAGGGAAGACCAGCTGACCGTGGCGTAGTGCTGCAGATGGGAGCTGTTATGTCTCTGCCAGTAGTTAGATGAGCCAGGAGGAAGGGGCGCCATTGGCATGAGGCAACGCGCTTGTGGACAGTAATAATAGGACGTAGCAGGGCGTCCTGCAACATGTGTGAGAATTTTGCATTTTGGCAGGTGGAATAGTTGGCTTGGTAGGACATAACTGGTGAGGTGAATGTACTCTGATGCCAAGGATGTGCTTTAGCTACATCGGTACGACACACAGGGTATGTCTACACGGCGTTTTGGAGAAAGTCTGCTAGCTCAGGTTGACACACTCGGGTTAGTGGAGTTCACACTAGTGCTCTAAAAATAGCTATATAGACAGAGATTTGTAGTTGTTGCTTGGGCTCTGAAGCGTAGAGAGGGATGTTGGCTTCAGATCTGGAGCCACAACTTCAAAGTGCTGTCTAGAGAGCTATTTGTAGAGTACTAGCGTGAATACCATTCGCCTGAGTATGTTGATCTTGGCTCGAAGGCTCACTCCAAAATGCTGTGTAGAGGTGTAGTAATGCTAATGAAGCAAGATGTTAGGAGGAGGTGTCATCTGGAGGTGGCAAGCCAGCCCAAATGCCCGGGTCTGACTTCAGGTGTCTAGTCCAAGCTACTGCTTGACAGCAACATGGACACTGCTATTTTTAGCATGCTCTATCAAGTGGCGCTAGAGTGTGTCTATTACCAAGGCTGGAAGACATGCTCCCAGTGTAGACATAACCTGAGAAGCTACTACAGTAGAACCTCAGTTACAAACTGACCAATTAACCACACATCTCATTTGGAACTGGAAGTACACAACCCGGTAGCAGCAGAGACTCTCTCCCCCATCCAAAAAAGCAAGTGCAGTACTGTGTTAAACATAAACTACTAAAATAATAAAGGGAAAACAGCATTTTTCTTCTGCATAGTAAAGTTTCAAAGCTGTATTAAGTCAATGTTCAGTTGTAAACTTTTGATAGAACAACCATAATGTTTTGTTCAGAGTTACAAACTATCTTCATTCCCAAGGTGTTCATAATGCTGAGTTTCTGCTTTATAAGTGTTAGCTCTGTCTCTCGTCTGAGGTTTTAGTTTAGTCTATCCTTACTTGTTTACTACAGGAAACCAGATCTGAATTCTGTTTTATTTCTTTTACATAAGATGCACCTATTAAATGTCAAGGAAATTCAAGGATTGCGTATATCTTCAGAGTTGCCGCTCTACAAACTTCTTAATAGTCTTCCCCAGAAAAGAAAAAATAGAGGGAGGGCAGTAGCTCAGTGAGATTTAGTGTCTAGAGTTTTTTTAATTTTATTTTTTTTAAATACTGCGCTATAGTTAGAGCCCTATCTTACTGTTTTGTGACTGCTCTTAACTACTAATGAAGTCATGACCTGGGCAAGGTTTGTGAATCTGAGCAATAAATGCGGGACAGTATATCCAATTCTGGACCATCTGTACAAACCTGGGATGCTTGGGAGGAATTTGTTTGAAAAACTCTAAAATATATACATATTGTAGCATGTTTGGATAGTGTTGCAATTTTAAACCAACCACTGTAATGTTTTGGCTAATTTATTTCTGACACTTGTGAATAAAGCCCTGCACAGGAACAAAATTTATATCCATAGATATAAAGCAGAAATCTGGGGAGCTGCAGGGCTCTATCAGGAACCGCAGTTGATGCAGACCACTGCATGGAAGGGACTCCTGTCTGGGAGCATATGAGTTGCTTGCACACACTAGCATGACCAGGGACAGCTGCTGGCGAGCCTGGTGCCCACTCCCGCAGCCCTGCTCATTGGTGGTACATCCACTTCAGAGATACTGCCCAGAGTGGGCGCTGGTTCTTGCAAGCGGCAGCCCAACATACTGCTGTTTTAGTTGCTGCAGTTCCTGGTAGAGCCCTGCAGTTCCCCGGATATCCACTTTATATCCGTGAATATCTGCATCTGCAGATATACATTTTGTATCTGCGTAGGGCTCTACTTGTGAATACATGTCAGTGTATCCTCATCAACCAATCAGACTGCTCCCTTAGTTCATTCTTTTAAAGGGTTTAGTGCTTGAAATAATAATTTTAAAGATAGCATGGTAACTGCTGGCTTTTGTTTGCAATTCTGCAACTCCTGTTTGCTCAGTATGAAACTAATGAAACCTATTGATACATATTTCCCTTGTTCCCTGCAAGATTGGCAAACTCCTTCCTCTAGTAGTGAATTTTATGCAATCTTTATAAGAGCATCTATTTTTCCTGCAGTTCATGGCTCCGCTTTTTCCAGTTGGGGCTTTATGTCCAAACAGCTGGCCCATTGATTAGTGAAATCTTATTTCATATGCCAGCACTGTAATTCTTATTTTTGCAATTCCTCCCCTCCCTCCCCCCCACCCCCAATTTGGTTGATAACTTCTCTGATTAGTGATCTGATATAGCTAAACACATTAAGTTAACAGGAGACCAGAGGATGTCTCTTGATGTGATGTGTTTGTTTTGTTTGTTTTAAATGGGTGGGGCACATCCCTCCTATTTTTTTTAAGTTATTATTGGCAGCCTTTCTTCAGGAAAATGACTTTGGCGCTATCATATTATGCATTGTTTCCTTCAGTTCAGTAGAGAGAATTCATACAATGGGGTTTCCTAACTCAGCCTGTGATGGTACCTCTGTTTAAAGCTGAAATTATCTTGACTTGAGTTTGATCACAAATCTTGTTTGAAAAAAAACAGAGTTCTCTTGGAAATGTTTACAAGATGCATTCTTGTCTTTTGTAATCGGTTATGGAGAATGACAACAAAACTACATTCTGAAATGCACAATCTGACATTCCATCTTCTGAAATAAAAGCATGTGGAGTGAATGCAGTGTTATGAAATGGTACTTGTAACATAACTTCCCTTGTATGTGACCCCCTGTGTAGTCTTTGTCCTTTGAGTACTGAAACTATCAAAATATTAGATTTTTTTTTTAAATACAAATCAAAGATTCAGAATTTTTGTTTCTGTTATAGAATGCAGTTAACAAGGAAAAGAGAAATTCTAAACTTAAAATCAATGTGTATTTTCAACATCTAGCTGTGAGTATCTTGTGGACGTGCAGAACAGCATTCAATTTTGTGCTTAGTGACACTGTACTAGGATTTTTTTTGTAAATTTACTTAACTTTTTCATCCAGTTACATTGAACTTGTTTCCAAGAATTAACATGTAAAGAGCATATGTGACATGCTTATTTTCAGCATCTCTTTTTTTCTTCATATGAGTGGAATTATAGTTCTGTGGGCACTGAAACGTTTTAGGTTTGGAATTAGACTAGAGTTTTCATTGCCTGGATATAGGGAAGTGTTTTCCTGGATCTGTGAGTAACTATCCATATTAACTACAATGTTAAGAGTCTCCATCTAATGTTTTAGAGTGCAACCATGGAAGTCTTGGAATAATTGGCAGTTGTGGAGGAAGGGCATCTTGGAAGAACTGCATCTGCTGGAAGTCTGGGCCACATACTCAACTGTCCAAAATGTACCTGCAACCACTTCCTGATGGCTACTGCTCCATCCAATCACTTAAACCTTTTGAAAAATGTAGGTAATAGGCATGCACGATTCTCATAGAGAAAGCATAGGAGAATTTGAGATTAGTGGAAGCAATCAGGCGGAACATATGGGTTCTAGATTTAAAAGCGAACAGCATTTGAGTATTTTGAGAGCAATTCTTCATTCCCAGTATTGGTTACGACACCAGGATGGTTCAGTAACCAGTGAGCCTACTCCTGCAGATGATTAAAAAAAACAACCCAACTGCCCCCTATTGTCTTCCTCCTAGCTGAAGGAGGAGTGCTAGACTATAGAAAAGGGCACAGAAGAGTCTTCTCAGAACTTTAGATAAGGCTGGTAGCTGGATTCTGCAATACTAGAACTAAATATGTAACCATTTCTCCATCAAAATCTTTACAGGTATTGTGTGACATAGAAGGATGGCATTCTATTTAATTTCTCTACCACAGGTGCATTGCTGAATCATTACTGTAATAGATGGTGAAATGGATGCAACATGTATCATTCTATAGTTTATACCTGAGTATTTATATCTTCAGTGTAATGGATAACTAATAGACTTAGTTGGTCCAGTTTTTACACCATGACAGTTTAGCCTATTGATGGTAAAAACTGAATTAAACAGAAGTGTTTGCATAAATTATACTGTTTTTGTCCACTGTTGAGATAAAAATCATTAAGATGCAGAGAAGTAAGTCTTCCTCTGTGTTCACCTCATTTGATTCAGTTCTATAATGACACGCTGCCCAGGTATTGTGTGCCTGGCTGTATCCCACTCTTAAATACTGTTGTTGGTTAATGGATGATAGGTGCCATGCCCTGATGTGACTGAACTGCCTCTTTTTATGCATAATTCACAGTGGTGATCTTGATTTTTTTTTTTTCCTAAGTGGCATAGCTGTCATGAGCCTTATCAAGGCAGCTTTAGTTCAAAAGACTATTTTATTTATAGCAAACAAAATCTAAGAAACTGAGTAGAGTAGTCCCAATTTTCAGTGCAGGAAAACCAAAGAATCTGAACATAAACATTGAACAAGGCATTGTACATATACTGAATAGAGGATAGTATGAAGAAAAGAACACCCTGCAAATATGGAGGAATTTGTATTCAGGGTTAGTATTCTAA